CACAACTATAACATCGTCTACCACCAGACTTATCCCGTCCCTTGCCCTTCATCTTACCACCTTCATCACTCGAGTCACTACTCAAATCATCGTTATTTTGAACTCTACCCAAATTCATTTTTTAAACTTCATCCCACTCCTTATCATGTGTAACTCACCACTCCTCTTATCTTCATTTTCAACCTTCATTCAAATCTCCTTACTCCTAAGCGAGTTTACGACAATCTCGAGAGTCGATGTACCTCTACCATACTTAATGGCATTTTTAACTTCCTTATATGACTCAGGCATAAAATTAAGCAAGATTATAGCCTTGTAAGTTTCAGATACGGTTTCTTCACAGTTAACAATATCTTGGACAAGTTTATTGAAAACATCTAAAATGTCATCAAGATCCTTTGAATGATCCATTTTAAAACTGAAAAAACGCTCAAGAAAATAAAGTTTATTGGAAGTGGATTTAAGCAAATTTAGATCTTCCAACTTTTTCCAAAGATCTTTTGTGGTTTTCAGTTTTCCTACTTTTCTCAAAATAGCGTCAGATAAATGTAAAATGATTAAGGTATAAGCAAGCTCATCGATACACAGTTTCTAGTAGAAATTGCAAGATTTGGAGGATACTTGTCCGATGACATAATAAACGCCTTTTTGGATATCATATCCCGTCTAGAATCATCCTTCATTTCTTCCGGATTTAATCCAGTGAGGTAACTTCTGATGATTATAACAATGAAAATTTTAGAACTGATGATTGCCTGTGTCGCTGGTCATCAAAACATAAGTTCTTTTCTTCAATTTGCAGGGATTTGAACGACGAGGGATGGCCTGGAAATGCTGCTATGAAAGCTCTTGAGAAGTTACAAGAACTTGAGAAGAAAGAATTACTAGAAAATGAAAATAGTGATACCCATGGAGAAAAATCACTTCATGCTGATGTTGCAAGATTATCGACTGATTTCATCAGGTCAGATCAAAATTCAGTGACAGAAAATGCCTCCGAATTTGCCATTGATGCAGACACAGAGATGATAAGAATCGAAGCAGAAAAAATAAAGATTAGATCCCGGGATAATAGATTTTTACTGGACGAACGTAGTGATGTAGGCGACGATGGAGATTCTTGCCAAGGGAATACGAGCATTCAATCTGATCATGTTGAGCTAGGGACAGGTACGTACAAGGAAGAAGAGTGTTTACCAACAAGACAAAGAGAAGCTCCTGATCCGAAAGAGCAAGTTGAATGACTACATATCCGTTTCTAGTGGAGATGATCTGTTAAGTTTCTTATGAATGAAGCTATTTTCATTGATTTGATACATGGTACATTGGTGTATATATAATAAACCAAGAATATGATATCTAAGGAAATACAATTATGTTTGGGCAAAATATTTTGTAAAGGGAAATAGATTGCATAATTATATATGAACTCCTTAATCACAGCTAATATGATCAAACTATTCATTGCCCGAGCATAGAGGTGTAAAGCATAGGGGTTGCGAATCCAACGGATGGACACTCGAAACGTGGCAAAGCTCACAATTTCAACATCAACAATGTAAATTCAATTCTAGTACAATCTTGATCGATGAGATTTGCCTTTGTTATATAAACCTCTGATCATTATACTAAAATATCCTTCATTTTTTGTTGTTAGATTGAAAAATCTCCTTTTCCATTAAAAATACCAACTTCGAAATGTGAAGACATTTTTGAAAAACTAAACAATCTATTAGGCAAATAGATCACACAAAGTAATCCTACAACCGCAATATACACTGTTCTAGATTCCAAGGGTTTCGTAAGACTCGCGGTCTTAGATCAAGGGAACATGGGAACTGGTAAGCTCTAGGTATTCTAACAAAGGTAACAACACAGCGAAATTTACGATGCAACAAAATAGGTATATCCAATCAAACGAAATTTCACGACAATTTTAGCACAAAGCACAATACGCTAATTTATTCAAAAATAAGTACTCAATCGCAACAATTAAGAGCAAATAATCCTAATTTCTAACACAAGCAATGGTTGCTAAGCAATGACATCCCCCAACTTATTGTCACCCCACATTGTGACGCGCTAATGCTGAAATTAACAGGTTAAGCCAATTACCAGAGCGGACGTGTCTGAGTCCGTATAATCGAGAGAGATGCGAATCTGCTGCTTTAGGACCACCACTACTCGTCCTAAAGATTCAGCAAATATAACCGTGCAGCCCGCCAAGAAATGCAGTTTGATTTCCAGGGGCAAAATCGTCCAACTTTTTCTGTGTAACCTGAAACAGAAAACTTCCAACACGAAAAATGTTTGAAATAATGTGAGGAACAAACTGCCAGAAAAAAACTTCCCCAGAATCTGCTCCACACGCCCACACGCGCCACCACCGGAGAAGCCACGAGCCGCCGTCGCCCAGACGGGTCGGTTACCAGCACCGCCTCCATCTGCAGATCACGAATCCGGCCTCCGTTTCACCAAAAGACGTCTGGATTCTCCGAAAATTGAAGTTGCAGATCCGATTTTTTTGGGAAAAAATTCTGGACATTTTTTATTTTCTGATTTTTGCCGGTTTTCTGATGGGATTTTGGCCGGAAATTCCACCCCAACCTCTCTCTGATATCAAATGTTGAATAATCGACCCCCAATGGTGGATTTTTCGGGCTCAATTTAACCAATCTCTATCTTATTAAACGCACCCAACAAAGGCTCCAACCCAAACAACGATTCTTATTACGGTTGCTCAACTCAATGTGTTCACAAAAAACACAATATGGTGGCTGCAATGAATCACAAAGAATAGAGGAAGACAGACTCAGTTTAAGGCTCAAAAGAGAAAACTAGAGAAAAATGTAGGCTGCCTCTTTTCAATTGCACACACACGGCTCCTTCACAAATGAGAGTAATATATAGGTTTAGGGTGTAATAATATAATGGGCTCATGGACCAACTAATGGTTAAAGGGGGAACACAAATTGAGCCATCCAAGAAGTAAATGGACCGTGAGCAACATTAACTATATTAAGTTGCTTCAAACAATTCTCAAGTTGTTTTTCGAGTTGAGCCAATTAATCGAGTGTGTTAATAAATATTTCAATCATCGGCCGAAGCCTATGAAATCTAATCCGATTATCCAGCACTGTTTAATATCATCGCCCGGGATTATTGGGTATCAAAAACCCAACAAAAAAGTGCTAACACATTTACAAATTAATATGCAATATTAAGTTGTACTTATCCTGGTATATAGAATTCATCTCCTATCTCCTTGGGCAGGATAAATTTTCATTGCCGACTTTCTTTGAATCTAAGACCATCATAATTAAGGTTGTCTTGCTTTGTTGAGAAGTTTTTATCGGAAATTAGGACTTGAAAACTATCTCGAAATAGGATGATTCATCCGTAACCGTAAGTCATTCGAGAATGTTTATATTTTCACTTTCTTTAATAATTCCAATCATTTCTTGTTTAAATAATACAAATTTTTTCCAACTAATTTTGTATTTAATTAGTAAAATAATCTTTGGGAAAATCCAAAGAGCACTAAAGTTTGAAAATTTCATGGCCTGCAAATCGTTGTCTGCATTAATACACTCACATAGGCGAAAAAATCAAAGCTTGCCAATGGCGGAAGAAAACGACGACACAAAAATCCAAACCTTGTATTTACAATTGAAATGGCACTATCTTGAAAAATTTCAACCTCAATCATCAGCGTATGATCAAAATAAGAGAAATCCTCAATGGAATCGAGCTCCAATTCCACTTCAAGATTTCGATTCAGAGATCATAATCAAGAAATGGGCGATGATAATTCCTCTGAAGGCCACACAAGTGTAGATTATTCTTCTGTAGCTAGCGATGAAAATGTCGAGGCCGAGCTTCAATCCATGACTGCTAAGGTTAATCTAAAGCATACTGACTCTTGAATAATCTACACCTCTAGTTCATTGGGTTGCGATTTTAGTTTCTTTTCCATTCTTACTGTGTATTTATGTATGTTTGTTTGTTTGCGAGTAAGCATTTATTTATCAGAATATTGTCTGTTTATTATGATCTAATAGGGTGTTCAGCATCTATGTTCGGAACTTCTGGAATTGAAGCAGGAGTCGGATTTGGATTTTCAGAAGAGCATCTTTTCAAATTACTCTGCCTTTCTTGCGTAAGTTCTTTAGCGAATTAACTGTTTTTTGTCCTAATTTACTGTTATTGGATTTGCAAAATGGAAAATGGGAATTTGTTCACCAAGGTTACAAATTTTTTGGGGCAGCTCTTGATGTCATTTTAATTTTGTATTGATTCTGTAATGCTCAAATTGTTGCATAAATAATCGAAAATGTTGCTTTGAAATTTGGCGTTTTTGCTTCATTGGAGATTCTCAGGCTTCATATCTTGTTGAAGATATGTATAAACGACATACATTTGGCGTCATCTAACAGTTTAAGCATTTATATCAGGTGATTCAACATATCTTGATCCAAGAATGTGTGTCCTACTTGAACCTGCATCGCTGATGAAACTAGTCTTAACTACAGTACAATGCTTTTCACATTTGGTATCTATTTACCATTTCACTGACTGGCATAAGGTAGCAATAGGGCATTGTGTAATGATGAAATTATCAAAGACATTTTAGTTGTCCCATCTTAGTTACCATGTGATAATTGTTTGGTGTTTCTACTTTAGGAGATCGTGTAGGTTAACTTATGCCCTTTTTTATGCTCGTTAATTGCACCCTTCTAAATTAATCAATTAGGCCCTCAGTGAAACCTGACACTGGTAAACAAGAATTAATCTATTCATATTGCAGAATATTTAAAGAGATAGAAGGCTTGCAAAGTGAACTGCTGCAACTGAAATACCAGGCCTTATCACAGAAGAAGCTCGTACAAGATCTTAGAGATGGCATCGCTTTAAATGTTCTATCAGAAGAAACTATAGAATCAATGCAAGAAGAACCTCTACAAGTGCAAGTATTTTCTCCAAGCATATTGGAGACTCACACTGAAAATGTTTCCGAACTCCTGGATACTCTTCTTTCAGAACACAGGCACGATGATGCTCTTGCACTCCTTGAAATGGAAGACGGGTATTTCAAAAGTTTGCGGTTGGAGCAAAATTTTTCCTCCAATGAGTTAATGTCCTACAACTCCATGATATCAGAGAAGAGGGCTATGCTTTCTGATCAGATCACATTGGTGGCAAAAAATTCCAGGGTGTCTGCACCAGAACTGCAGAAGGCATTGCTTCGATTGTGCCGACTTGGTGATAGAAATCTTGCAACTCAATTACTGCTCCAGTATTATCATTCACGCATTGAATTGGGTATTCGTGATTTGCAATCTTCAAAAGAATTTCTAGACTCGCTATATATTCAAGAAGTAGCAAAATTTGTATGTTCTATGATCTCTCGAGCAGCAAGAATTTTCGTATCCTTAGATGGAGAAACTTCTCCTCATTCTTCGGACCTTATTCAGTGGGCTGGTGAAGAAATTGGAGTATTTGCTGATTGTTTCAATAAATTCTTTGCCTCCATATCAGAAATAAGTGGTCGACTTTCAACAGCCATAGATACTATGCAGATTGCAATGTCATATTGCTCTTTGCTGGAGAGTCAAAAGATCATCCTGCAACCATTTTTGATAAAGTGCATTAGTCCTTGCATCGAAGAAGTATTGCAGGTCCATATAGAGCATTTCAGACAAGTTATTAGTATTTTCACATCGACTGATACTTGGGTTGTTGGTAGATATTTTGGACCCAGAATTATAACAGAAAGGAGGGATGCAATAATTGATCAACAACCAGAGTGCTTATTTCTCACTAACAGCGGGAGGAAGTTTGTGACATTATTTCAGGTTAGTGAATAAAGTTTTCAGGAATGTATATGTGCAGCATAGTATCTTTTTTGCTCGCTATAGTCTCTATACTTTAGACAGTGGAACAACTCTCGACTGGACATTTGTCCTGCCTTAATGACATATTATAACTTGTAACTAAAAAGTTTTCCTATATTTTTAGTCATTCACAGAGGACGTTGCGCCTTTAGTTGCCTTTCAAATGGAAAGTTCAGTTCTGAAAGGAATCATGGACCTCTTCAATGCGTATATTCTTATCCTTGAAAGTGCCCTTTCGGGTGATAAAGACTCCTCAGAAAAAGGAGGTTCCAAAGTGAATTTCCCAGAGACGCCAGTACAGGAAGTTTCCATTTTAGCCAGTTTGTCAACGCTGGTGCAATTTGTCTCCAGCATAGTTAAAAATATCTTTGACGGCATTCACGACCTGGACTTTGGGATTGATAATTACCTGCTGTTCATTCAAGACACATGCAGTCGACTTCGAACTTGTTTTATTGAAGAATTCATAAACAACATAGTATCTCGAGATGTCGACCATCAATGTATTTCAGAAAGTCGCATCAGCTGGCTGGACAATTCAAAAATTTACAATCTAGTTCCCTCTCCAACTCACTTGGTATGCNAATGTATTTCAGAAAGTCGCATCAGCTGGCTGGACAATTCAAAAATTTACAATCTAGTTCCCTCTCCAACTCACTTGGTATGCTCAAGCTTTTAGAAATTGAAGTGTCTATTTATGTAGATTAATTCTTGTACGGCATCCTAAAAATTCTGTGTATTTGCGAGATTATATGCTGAGGGAAGAGATTTTGACGTTTTATCTCGTTATTTATGGAAACTGATTTTTGAAATTGTAGCTGCTTCAGCTTTTCTCTATCTTGTTTCCTGGAACCAGAATAATAATTATACAAATTAAGGTCAAATGGCATAATATCTTAACACTCCATATTCCGTCTTTCTCGAAGTTTTTGAATTTCTAAAATTGTTAGCTTTTCTTGTTTCTTATTCTTCAGTAGAGGGAAGAATTACAATTAAAAAAGGAAAAAAATGTAATTTATTAATATCTTTGATGTGTTTAATGTCGTTCTACAACTATATTTGGTACATGTTTAAGCTTATGAACTTTTGCCTCTCGACTTCTCAATTATCAGGAACTGTATCTAGATCTAAAGAAATTACAAAAGCTTGTTGGGGATGATTGTGTTGATAACAATTGGTTGATGGGTCTTCTCGAGGATCTGGTGGGAGCCACATTTGCGTGGATTTCAAGTAAATCAGAAATTTGGTCAATTAACAAAGAGGATTTGGCTGATCATCACGCCGATTTCATGCAGGTATGCTTTTCCTACCGTTCTAGTATTTAGTCGAATTGCATTAATTTTGCCACCGATGCAAATTATTGATGGAGATGAATGTAGTTCATTATGTATATGGGATTTTGCACTCATGCGTCTTCTATGATCACATTTAAGCATGTACATTTTAGTTCTCTTTTATTAAAATTCTCTTGTTTCCATGGCAGTTTATCCTCGATACACAGTTTCTGGTAGAAATTGCAAGATTTGGAGGATACTTGTCCGATGACATAATAAACGCCTTTTTGGATATCATATCCCGTCTAGAATCATCCTTCATTTCTTCCGGATTTAATCCAGTGAGGTAACTTCTGTGCATTATAACAATGAAAATTTTAGAACTGATGATTGCCTGTGTCGCTGGTCATCAAAACATAAGTTCTTTTCTTCAATTTGCAGGGATTTGAACGACGATGGATGGCCTGGAAATGCTGCTACGAAAGCTCTTGAGAAGTTACAAGAACTTGAAGAGAAAGAATTACTAGAAAATGAAAATAGTGATACCCCTGGAGAAGAATCACTTCATGCTGATGCTGCAAGATTATCGACTGATTTCATGAGGTCAGATCAAAATTCAGTGACAGAAAATGCCTCCGAATTTGCCATTGATGCAGACACAGAGATGATAAGAATCGAAGCAGAAAAAATAAAGATTAGATCCCGGGATGATAGATTTTTACTGGACAAACGTAGTGATGTAGGCGACGATGGAGATTGTTGCCAAGGGGAGACGAGCATTCAATCTGATCATGTTGAGCTAGGGACGGATCCGTAAAAGGAAGAAGAGTGTTTACCAACAAAAAAAAGAGAAGCTCCTGATCCGAAAGAGCAAGTTGAATGACTACATATCCGTTTCTTGTGGAGATGATCAAAATATTCATTGCTCGAGCATAGAGGTGTAAAGCATAGGAGTTGCGAATCCACTGGATTGACACTTGAAACGTGGCAATGCTCACAATTTCAACATCAACAATGTAAATTCAATTCTAGCAAAATCTTGATCGATGAGATTTGCCTTTGTTATATGAACCTCTTATCATTATATACTAGATCAAATTAACCCTTTTGAACTAGTCGATCTTACAAGATCCATAAGTATTGATGATTGAGTAGCTGAATCAACTTTGTAGCAAATTTACATACTAAGTCGATGCATATAAAAAAATTAAAATTGAAAATTCATTTTAGCGAAAATGTCAATGCATATATCGACATAGACACGCCAATGTGTGATGTTTTCAAACAATTTTCGACGTTAATTCAAATAATATATAATTTATTTTTTTAATTTAATAATCTAAAATCTAAAAGAATAAGTTATTTTATACTTATTATTTGACATATAAATCTGATCATTTCTTTTGTATTGAACTGGGGTTTTGCTAGGGTGACCAGCAGGCATCCCTGGAGAGACAGGGCCTAGTAAAACCCTTTGAATTAGGGGTAAAGTGGTAATCGAATTTTAGTACTTGTTTGGTAGGGATTTTAATAATTGATTTTTTGACCGTTAGAGATAAAGTGAGTCCTACTTGTGAGAGAAGAATTCAAAAATGACGGCTAACGGTTAAATAATTTATTTTAATTGGTTTAAAATTTGTACCTGATACTGACATTCCCTGCAACCCGATCACAATATTATCCCGACGACCAATTTAAGATGAACTTGCAATTCCACATATGGAGTGCTCGAGCATATAGCAGTCCCCTGGCTGCTTTACATATTGCGATACTAGTCATCGAGCATAAGCAGTCCTCGAGCATATGCTCCCCTCAACAAACTACGATTGTTGACCCTTTAGAATTCCTATGCAATTAAGACTCTAACTCAACCATATACTTGACTCCCGCAAGGACTCTATCACACATACAATTATGGTATTTGACCAACTCCTTAACTGTACAGGACTCCAACAGATAAGGACATCCAACTAGTTGAGTTCCACTAGGAGAATGTCGCTTACTACTATAAATACAAAATCTTAAGCCATTATTCAAGTACGTTTTTCATTATTCTCCAGTCTATAGCCTTATGCATATAATTCCTTTTCTGACTTAAGTATCAGAGGGGCGACGAGAACATACATCGTTGCCTTTGTTTCAGGTACCAGAAGACTACGATTGTGCTCAATCCAAATCATCAAGATCAGGAAATTTGCAGGTACGATTTTTGGTAGCATCATTGGCGCCGTCTGTGGGAATCGCTACCAAAAACCATGGTTAACACACGATCAGGTCTTCCTCCCGCAAGCTCATCCGCTCCCATCCCTCATCCTGCCAAAGATCAACCGGCTCCTCATGAAGAATCCTCAGGAGTGTCCGCACCTCTGCCAGCGCTCATCACAACCGAAGCCTTTGAAAAGCTCCGTCAGTAGGTGGCCACGCTCACGCAACTGTTAAGTCAAAGAAATTCACATTCGTCGCCAGCGCAGGCGGAGCATGGCGATTTTATGGCTGATGCTCGAGCACGGCCACCAAACCCCGCAAATGGCGGAGTAGGAACCTCAGGTATTCACAATATGGCCTCGAGCTCGAGATCGGTCGCCATGGATTCCGGTGAAATTGTCCGGATCATTCAAGAAGGAATTACAGTTGGCCTGCAATGGAATGCTCGGGGGCCAACAGGTTTTACCCCTAACACTCCATTCACCCCGGAGATATTGTCATATCCCTTTCCCGACAGATTCAAATATTCTCGCATTAAAGAGTATGATGGGATGACCGATCCCATCAACTATCTCAATGTATACACTGATGTCATGAACTTGCAAGTTGTGCTGGATCAGGTTATGTGCAAAGCCTTTCCACAAACGCTAACTAATGGTGCTAGAGATTAGTTCTCGACATTTGAGCCCAACTCCATAGCCTCATTCTCAGATCTGGCTGATAAGTTCTCAGCCTTCTTTGCAAGTAGCAAACGAATCAAGAAGACCGCGGCCTCTCTCATGCAACTTCGTCAGGGACCAACTGAAACCCTACGAGGATTTATGACAAGGTTTAACAAGGAAAGGCTCCAAATACCGGATCTTTACATCACAGTAGCTGTCTCCACCCTCACCTACGTCGTAAGATGTGAAGCTTTCAAGATGTCTTTGTTAAAGACCCCGACGCAGACAGTGATCGAGCTCCTCACCCGAGCTGAAAAATACATTAATATGGAGGAAACACTAAATCCAAGGAGACCTGGTCCTTCCCATGAAAAGATCGAGAACAAGAAGCAACATGGTCCCATCCCTTGGCATGAGCTTCCTCGGGATAAACGCAGGAACGAGGCATCGTCAGTACCTCTCACTTGATTGAACACCTCTAAGACAAACATTTTGATGGAGGTTAAAGATATGAAAGAATTAAAGTGGCCTTCAAGGATGAAGTCACCCCCTGACACAAGAGATAAGAGCGAGTATTGTGAATTTCACCGGGATCATGGGCATACTACAGAGGATTGTCATGCTTTACAGCGAGAAATTAAAACCCTTATCAAAAGAGGATTTTTAAAGAACTACATTGGTCATGATAAACGACCAAGGAATGACCGTGACAATCGGAAGAGCCTGAGGCCGGAAGCAGTGCTCAACCCACTGCCAGAACCTTTAATATTATCGTTGGGGGCATAGCATCCTGTGGAAACACAAGTAGTGAGCGAAAGCAGTATACTCGCCAACATGCTCATACCCCAAGAGAATTCCGTGATGAAGTCAAAGACATCACTTTTGGAGCAAGAGATTTGGAAGGAATTTCATATCCTCATGACGATGCCTTGGTCATCTCTGCGGTTGTGGCTAACTTCGAAGTAAAGAGGATTTTGGTTGATAATGGGAGTGCAGCAAATATACTCTCGCAGGAGGCTTTCGCCAAAATGGGGATCTCTCCCAAACAGCTCAAAGCAGTAAAAACTCCCCTACAGGGATTTGGTGGTGGCGTCTTTATCCCTGAAGGCATAGTCGAGCTCCCACTTACATTAGGAACTGGTAGTACACAAGTGATGGAGATCACACCATTCCAAGCGGTTAATACTCTAATGGCCTACAACATCATTCTGGGAAGACCCCTACCGAACAAGATCCAGGCTATTGTGTCAACTTTCCACCTCGCTATGAAGTTTCCCATAGGTCATGGCATTGGAGTAGTTCGAGGAGACCAAATAGCGGCTAGACAGTGCTATTAACTAGCATCCAAAGAATGAGTGCTGACGTCATGCAACTCGTAGACCTCGAGCTTGAACCAAGGGGTAGATTGGCCCCCATTGAGGAATTGGAAGTGGTCAAGCTCGAGCACGAAAAAGCCGTTACTATTGGTCGGGACCTCAAGGCCAATCTCCGGGAGGGAGTCCTGCAACATTGATGTCTTTGCATGGAAGATGGAGGATATGCTAGGGATAGACCCAGAAGTAGTTGTCCATAAACTTTATCACCCCAGGGGCCAAATCTGTTAAGCAAAGGAAGAGACGGTTTGCGTCGGAAAGACGTGTGGTCATTCAAGAAGAAGTCGGCAAATTGTTGGGAGCGGGGTTTATAAGGGAAGTCCAATACCTCGATTGGCTCGCTAAAATTATTCTAGTGAAAAAGGTCAGGGGTAAATGGAGGGTCTGCATTGACTTCACAGATCATAATAATGTGTGCCCAAAGGACAGCTACCCGCTACCAAGGATTGATAATCTTGTGGATAGCACATCCGGACATAAGCTGTACAGCTTCTTAGATGCTTTCTCGGGGTATCATCAAAGCCTCATGGCCAAAGAAGACCAAGAGAAGACTTCATTCATGGCTAATTCAGCCATATATTGCTATAAGGTGATGCAATTTGGATTGAAAAATGCTGGGGCGACATATCAGAGGCTCATCAACAAAGTCTTCACCGATTTGATAGGGAAGAACATCGAGGCCTATGTGGACGACATGGTTGTAAAGAGTAAGAGGGTGGAGGAACACATATCCAACCTAGAGGAGGTGTTCATCACCCTAAGAAAATATAGGATGAAGCTCAACCCGGAGAAGTGTGTATTCGGCGTAGCTTTAGGAAAGTTTCTGAGTTTTATGATCACTCATCGGGGGATTGAGGCCAACCTCGACAAGATTCAAGCTCTGGCAGCAATGGAATCACCAAGGACCAAGAAAGAGGTTCAAAAGTTGATAGGCAAGGTAGCTGCTCTAAATAGGTTCATGTCCCGAACAGCAGACAGGTACTTCCCCTTCTTTAAAGCCCTCGAGGGTAATCATTGCTTCAAATGGAATGAGGAGTGCGAGAAAGCTTTTCAGGAGCTCAAGCAGACATTGGAATCTCCTCTTATCCTCACTAAACCCGAGCCCGGGGATACTCTGTATTTATACTTAGCCGTATCTCAGAATGCAGTGAGTGGTGTCTTGGTGAAAGAGGTTAACAGGGCCCAGCAACCCATTTATTACGTAAGTAAAGTCCTACTTGATGCAAAAACAAGATACACTTTGGCAGAACAGCTTGCCCTTGCACTGATAGTGGCAACACGAAAACTTCAGCAATATTTTCAGTCACATCCTATTGTAGTGCTCACCAATCAGCCTTTAAAACACATTCTTCAGAAACCAGATGTCTCAGGAAGATTACTGAGGTGGGCAATTGAACTCGAAGAATTTGACATAGAGTTCAAGCCCTGTCCATCTATTAAAGCTTAGGTCTTAGCTGACTTCATTGCAGAACTCACCCCAAAGCCTCGGGGGCCAGAGAGTAGCTCGAGCTCGACCACAGGTGTGTGAAAAATTTTCGTAGATAGAGCATCAAACTCCTTGGGCTCGGGCACAGGCGTCATAATCATAAGCCCAGACATGCTCATAAACATTCAGTGCACATTCAGGTTCGAATTTGAGGCGACCAATAATGAGGCAGAGTATGAGGCCGTCATCACAGCCATAGAACTCGCCATAAATCTCGAGCTCGAAAATATCAAAATTTACAGTGATTCCCAGTTGGTGGTTGGACAAATCGAAGGGACTTTCGATAGGAAGGATGAGAAGATGAGCTTATACTGTTTAAAAGTGCATGATCTCCAGAGAAAGTTCAAGAGTTGTGAAATTGTGAAAATTTCTCGGGCTGAGAATTGTAAGGCCGATGCCTTGTCAAGATTGGTGTTCATGGGAATAAATGGGCTTGACAGGACAGTCCACGTTAGAATTGTAACTGAGCCAAGCATCAACCAAACCATAAGCGTCATGGATATTGATAATGAGCCATTGTGGATGGATCCAATAGTGGACTTCATAAAACATGGCAGTCTTCTAGAAGATCCTCGAGCAGCAAGAAGCATCCGGTCCAAAGCTCTGAGGTATTGCATGATTGAAGGAGTTTTATTTCGCATGAGACTCACACTTCCATACCTCAGATGCCTTAGGCCTTCCGAATCATCTCAGACCCTAGAAGAAGTTCATGAAAGAGTGTGTGGGAACCATCAAAGAGCTCGGGCATTAGCCTTCAAGCTCATAAGGTATGGATATTATTGGTCAATCATGAAGAAAGATGCCTAGGAATATGTCAAGAAGTGTGACAAGTGCCAAAGATTTGGCAATGTCATCCACCCTTCCGCAGAGGACCTCACAAGCATTAGTTGCACAGCCCCGTTTGAGCAGTGGGGAATTGACATCCTTAGTCCCTTTCCAATAACTAGGGGCAATTGAAGTTTGTGGCTGTGGCTGTAGAGTATTTCACAAAGTGGGTGGAGGCTGAGCCTTTAGCAACAATTTCAGAGCCGAAGTTGAGAAGTTTCATTTGGAGATCCATCATATGCAGGTTCGGGATACCGAAAGTCCTCATAACTGATAATGGCAGGCAATTTGACAATGCACAATTTAAAAACTTCTGTTCCAACCTAGGGGTTGATCACCGTTTGACGTCAGTTTCCCATCCTCAAATAATGGTCTCGCAGAAGTGACCAATCAGATTATATTGCAAGACCTCCGAACAAGTATCAGGGATGTAAGAGGTTCCTGGTCTGACGAGTTACCTTCCATACTTTGGACGTATAGAACGTCCCACGGAACTGCCATGGGAGAAACCCCCTTCATGTTGGCTTTTGGTATTGAGGCCACCATCCCTGTTGAAGTCAGGCTACCCAGCCAAAGGAGGCTTGAGCCCGAAGATGTAGGGCGCACTACTGAACACCTCGACCTTTTGGAAGAAGTTCGTGATCAGGCAATTTTAAGAATGGCCTCCTACCAAGACAAAATAGCAAAGTACTTCAATAAAAAAGTGAGGACGCAGAGATTTAGAGCCTGAGACCTTGTGTTAAGAAGGGCCGAAGCAGCAGGTCATGCCCTGGGCAAGCTAGGACCAGTTTGGGAAAGGCCCTTTGAAGTCATACGACCGCTCTAAGGAGGCGCATACAGTTTAAGAGATATATCAGGAAAACCACTTCCAAGACCATGGAATGCCGAGAATTTAAAGATATATTACAAGTAACTTGGTCTTCCAGTTATCAGTAGTCAGGCCTGCGCGTCAAGGTTCACGTTTTCAATTCTCAGGCTTGCGTACCAAGTTTTATTTTTCGGTAGTCAAACCTGCGTGCCAAGGTTCACGTTTTTAGTTGTCAGACCAGTGTGCCAAGTCTATCTTTAAAAGTATAATAAGAATTAAGCTATTTGTCAAAATATGATCTAGCTACAAAAAGCCTTGCCCCGCGCAAGCAATCAAAAAGCATTGCACCGCCCAAGCAACTAAGCCTTGCTCCAACCAAGCAATCAAAAAAGCTAAAGCCACGAACACACTTACAAGTAAACATTCCCGAGCACACAGTGCCCGATCAACGACGTGATAGATCTTATAAAAAGGCCATTATTGTCCTCGGAAAGCACACTATAAGTCAATATAAATACATTGTCATTCAGTCCTCAGGATAAACGGGTATAATATGCTCGAGCCCAATGCATAATGTCAAAAAACGATTTTACAAATTAAGTCCTCGAGATAACTTGTATACATGCTCGAGCCAAACACAATTTTGAAAATGATTGTGAAATTCAGTTCTTGAAAGAGTCATATTGGTCGAGCATGACAAAAATAAATCTTCGTCGTCGGTAAATAAGTACATCAAGGCATCGAGTTGTTAACTCATCTTAAGCGTCAAGATAAATAATCAATCTAGGCGTCGAGTTATTAAGGTGTCGAGTTGTTAACTCATCTTAGGCATCAAGATAAATAATCAATCTAGGCTTCGTGTTATTAAGGCGTTGAGTTGTTAACTTATCTTAGGCGTCAAGATAAATAATTAATCTAGGCATCGAGTTATTAATCTAGGCGTCGAGTTATTAATACATCTTAGGCACCGAGCCGTTTAAAACATCTTGGGCGTCGAGTTTTAAATTCAGCTTAGGCGTCGAATCATTAACTCATCTTAGGCGTCGAGATATTTAATTAATCTAGGCGTCGAGTTGTTAATTCATGAAAGGCGTCGAGATATTAATGCATCTTATGCGTCGAGCTGTTTAAAACATTTTGGGCGTCGAGTTATTATTTCATCTTAAGCGTCGAATCATCCATTACTCGTCTTGAAAATCGAGCTATTTCGATTTGTCCTGATCGACAAGATGCCCAAGTCGTCAGCCATACACCCCATACGTTGAAAAAACATCGATAAAAAGAACATTAACTAAGACCGAGCAAAATACTTGTTCAAAATACAAAAACAGGTGTCGTCATGATCAAAAAGAATAATCAAGAAGTCTAGTCCTCGGTATTCTGGCTTGGCTGATCTTCCTCGACGTAGTCACCCTCGATGTCGACCTTCTCATCATCAACATTCTCCTCGGACTCTGAGAGGGTGAGGTCCTCAGCTACCTGTGGGATAGTCTTCAAGTCCTCGGGCGTTGCGTCTGGCTTCGCGCGAATGAATGCTTGAGCCTCTTTCAGGGCATGAAAGTACGAGCCCATTGCGCATTCGCCCTTGAGCTCATTAAAGACGACAGACTTCTTGAACTCCTCGACTGAGTCAACTCGAGCTTGGATCAACCTCCCTTCATAATCCCTATGAATATTTTCAAGCTTCAGCTTCACCTCCTCAGCCTCATCCTTCATGGCACCAACTTCTTCTCGAGCTTTCATGAGCTCTCTATTCATCTGCTCATGCTCCCTCAGCAGCTGAGCGCGCTCGGCCTCAAGGTCGGCAATTCTTTTATCACGAGTCGCTAGGGAGTCCTCGAGGTC